TCTCCAATATTTCAGTGAGTCATGCTTGGAAATAACAATAATTTTTTATTACCCAACCCTTGAGTTGTTTAGTTTTTCATTTACCCAACCTTTTACTCACTCAAAATTTTGTTTACCCAACCATTTTCTCTTCGGTGCCACCCCCCACCATAAATAATGACCGGCCCCTTATCACATCGAGTAGTTAAATCTAGCTTCTTGGCAGCCTCTAGCCCCTTGGCCTTCCACGGGCGGACGAATTCCTTGCAGGCTGTCATGAATTTGCGGGCTATACCCGTTTAAATATCCGTTACGTTAATCCTGGTCAACCTGCAAACTTCATCAAAATACCGCGCTAAAATAGTAAGACGGAAGAGAAAAGGCCGAGGATCTAGGCTACTCTCTTTGAACAGTCTCGAAAGAGTCGGGTAATCTCGGAGTTTGGTTGAACTACAGTCTCGAAAGACGGCATTTCCACTTTTCAATGGGAGCCCCCTTTAATTAAGGTTATATTTGTTAACTATACAACTTGTGAAATTGCTCAAAATTGCTGAACTAATACTTAATTCATTAAAATGTGGCTTCTAGTACACGAAAAAACTGAATGTACGTCTGGAAGAAATTACCGTGAGAAACCGTCAAGAATACAACAAGAGATCCACAGATTTGCAGAAGAAAATGCAACTTAAAGGAGAGGTACAGCCTGCCATGTCTGGAGATTTAATTAACAGTTTCTCCGCAAGCGAGATGTGTGACCCTCTCCACGAAGTGAAGATGGGAGGGGGGAGGCAAGGACAACGTGAGGGGGGGGGGGGACCAAGGTCGAGAGAATATGCAAGTGTACACATGTGCATGTTTTGTTCTTATGTGCTGTTTTGCCACATATTTAAATGTTTATAGCACTTAGTTTCTACGTGCTGCTTTGTTATCAGACATATTCAGCAAATGAACATTACAACTGTACCTGCCTAATGCAAAACAACGGAAACTCAAAAAATGAACATTTTAATATATTTTAGTTTTCGAATACGTTTTAGTGATCATCGGTAAATATTAAAGTGTCCATTTTTTATATAAAAATAGGAAAAATATCAAAATGTTCATTTAAGCTACAAAATAAAAAATACTAAAATGTTCATTGTTTTTATAAAATGTAAATTGTTTATGGGAAAGTATTAAAATGTTCATTTTCGGAGTTACTTGTTTATTGTTTCTCCGTGGAAACTCCGCCAATTACAGACCTATAGTCTCTACTGGGGACAGCAGAGATCAATATTTAATGCCAGCGACAGCGTGGACAATTATTGACGAAGTGAAAGCTATTTACACAGACTATATCGTGTTTAATTACTTATGAGCTTATATATATTTTCTGTCATTATAAATCGCCAAATGAAAATTTAAAATTGTTTATTGTAATTTTGGAACTTATATTAATGTCGTAAAGTGAAATATCTCAAAAGTGAAGAGAATTTGTGGCGAAGTTCACTTGTTTGGTATAGTTTAGCAGTGACTTTCAACCAGGTAAATTAATTTCCTAATGCCATTTTAGGTAAAGCCGTGAATATCACGCATATACATTTATTTTATTTACGCATATACTTACACCTGTTTTGAAAAATTACTTGTTACGCGTAATGTTTTATATAACACTTTCGATATTTCACTGACACTTATGTTCGCTCGAGTGAGGCACAAAAAGTTTAGAACTATAAATATATTTTGGGATATTGTTAAGAGTTGGCCGCAATTACCTCTCGACATTGAACAATTTTTCACTCGTAATATTCTAAGAGAAACATGCTAAATTGTTATTTTGAATATTTTGTTATGTATAACTTGTCTAGGTGGAGATGAAGAAGATAGATGAAAGAAAACAACGTGAAATCGATGAGGCGAAAGCAAAACTGGATGGCGCAGATAAGGTTTGAATTGGATTCCCTAATGTCTCCTGAGAGTGCGACAAGCGAATCAATCGTGTGTTCCGTGAACAACTTTTTGCATACTCAAATGGTGACTGAGTGGAAACTACGGTTGACTTATTCAATATAGATAAGCTATAGTGAACCAATCAGTTCAAGAATGCAGAACTTATTTCGTAATCGCGGCTGTCGTTAAATGTGTCTGATCATATTTTTGCCTCAGTCGCTGCATGCATAGGAGGTGTGCTTTTATGGGGAGCCCAAAAAAATTAAAATTAAAAATTAAAATGATTATATTACTGTGAAAATCCTCTAACAACTGTCTTCGTAACAATAAGTGTTGAATAAAAGTTTGCGAGACGCGAATTATACAGTCTTGAATTGTGACTGATTACAAACTTTCAATCACATACAAGGACAATTTTAATCTTTTTTGGGTCCATAGCAACTACATTTAACGACTAGTCAATCCGATATATATGGATAACGTGGATTAGTTTGTTTAAGTCATCGTAACAGCTGCCTTGATTTATTTTGTTACCGCTTTTCAACCTAAGTTCACAGACGGCAGTACAACTGGCCGACACAACGAAAGTAATTTCGTTATACAAATTTAATTTCGGCAAATTTAAATTCTTAGAAAAGCATAATATAAATAATTATGTTATTTTTCGTATTGTACTACCGTCGTGCAGCCAGGATAATATACAGAAAGTATATATATATATCACTTCTCCCGTTTTACAATTGTGACGTCATAGGGACTACCTGGGAATGTTACAACGGAAATTTCTGCTCATCTTTGGATAGACAAGATTTCCCAGCGACTATATCACGTGTTATTCTTTATGTTTGCAGAAAAAAACCAAGGAGGTGTTAAGTCTGATTGTTGCTCATTACCAGTCCCTTGAAAACGACGTTCGCGCGCAAATTCAACTTGAACATGACGTGGAACAGGAAAAAATTAGAAAGGTAAGCAAACGATCTCCCCGTTGACCCGGATTACACACGATACAGAGGTCTGAGCCAGCCAAAAACCCGTACAGCCGCCACGCCGTAATTCGCAACCGCAAAGCACTCTATGTCCCCGCTGAACGCCTAAGCCAAGCCGGTCATTTTGAATGTTTTCAGGAGATAAACGAGTTGTTCAGTTCCTCTTGTTGTTACACTGGATCAAAAATGAACAGTTTAGAACCCACAGATAAATTGTTTAATTCATTTTCTGAGTAGTTATTGCACAAAGCTAGCCTGAATATCAGGCCCGCACAAAGCAAGAAAGCTATTTAAACGGAAGCCACAAATATTTTACGTGTTCTTTGACAGGAAATTTCAGTGAACAGCAGACTGACTTCTAAGGAAGCTCAAGGCAGTTTAATCAAGGAAATGATAACTGAAGCTGAAATAAACGAAGAAGAAGCAGGAATGATCGTCTCAGAACATCTAGACGCCATTGCTGCCGTCGAGAAAATACACGATGATGAGAAGTCACGTCAAGTTATGGCGCTGGAGATGAGATTAGAGGAACGCAAAGCTATGGCACAACAAATAGTAAGACATTTTTATGGATTTTTCGCAATCTCTAATTGACAGAAATATAACCTTTAAGGAGTGTGAGATATACTTTTATTACCTTCTTTCTAGCGTGAACAAGAAGAGCAGGAAGCCCAAGTGTTGGCGACTATGAAAGAGAAATATGACAATGCTTTGGACAATTTAGTAACTTCTTCGCAAGTTTCCGAGGCGGAGGCAACAGCTTACCGCGAGAAACTGTTTAAAGATGTCGACACTTTGGACAAAAAACTCGAGAAACAGAAACACCGACAGGAAGAGAATCTTCACGATCGTTTGACTTTGTTGAAAAAGAAGAAACTACAAGAGAAGGTTAACTTTCTAGTATTTAACTTTCATGCATAGAAATTAGGGCGGCGTGGCTTTCTGATAGGTACTCCGGGAAAATGACACTTTAGAGGTCTATTTTATAAGATAAGGCGCATTTTTTGTCCAAATACTATGGACTCGTGAGGAAATGTTCCGTTGGACTATCTCGCCTCTAAATATGAACGAAGAAATTAGCGACATCATCCAGGTGAATTGTGATATGCGTAAAAAATCGTTGAATTTGTGGACCTATGTTGGTCCATTACACAAGCCGTGAACTGGTGATAATTCATAAACTGTTTTCATTTTCAATCATTCTAAATTTCATCATATTTTCTTGCTAGGAAGAAGAATATAAGTTAGAAATGAAAAAGTTGGAAGAGGCGAACAATGATTCTGAAAGTAAGTTGATATCTTAAATTAAGTTTTGGGCTTAATTTCCATATTACCAATGACAATTTAAGTGTAGCAAACTTCATCCTTACCCAATCCTTACCTGATTGTAGTCTTAATTCTCACCCTAACCGAAATCCTAACCTGATGCCGACCGTAATCCTTCCCTACTATACTAACGTAATTTCGATGCATTATTATAAAAAGTCACTGACGTTTTGAGACTCGTAGTGATTTGCCAGAGGTGGAACAAATTCGTTGTTTTAAACATTCCAGGTCCCAAAGATGTGATCGTTGCGAGACAAGAACTTACTCAGAAATATAACGAAGAAATTCATGAATTAGAACGAGAGCTTGATAAAAATGTATGTATTAACACTAACAAAAATACTCTTAAGTAGCTACGACAAAACGAAGATACACCTCATTCTAACAATTGGTGAATTTTTATTTTAATCATCACTATTTTTATAATCAGACTTTGTGAATAGTCTTATGTCCTAGAACTGCATGAATGAATTATATGAAGGAACAAGCAGTGGATACACAATTTTTAATTAAATTGCAACTTTCCGCAGGCTGCCCAAGACTTGAAGGAACTTCGCAGTCGAAATGCAGAAGAGGCTCGCGGAGAGTACAAAAACAAGATTGAAAAATATTACAAGGAATTGATGAAGAAAGGTGAGATTCGTGTGTGAGTAACAAATGCGATAAGAACATTGCTTCTCACATAAATGGTTCATGAAAAGAGCATACATCGTACTGAATGTGGGTTACTGTAATGTGATCTGATGTTCTTATGTTTCCTTGTAAACACTTGCAGTTCACTCACCTGATTAACAGGTTCCAATGCGAGAAAACCTGCGATGGATAGTGTTCCACGCAGCTAGGGGAGTCTATAGCTGGAATCCGTAGGAAGTGGTAGAAAAGTACCAAACGTTTAATTTGAGTTGTATGGCACTGGAAGATAGTTAATTGCTTATGAGTATTATATTTTCAATTTGATTCAAGGTGCCATGCAAGAAGACTATACCCAGCTGTTGGAGTCACATGACCAAGACGTAGCTAGGATCGTAGAAAATCAACAAGCGCAACAAAATAAACACAGAATCGCTTTAGAGGTGGAGTAGAACGACTTCTTAAATTAATGATTGAGTTTTGATGTATGATGTTTTGATATAGTGGTAGAGTTGTGGACTTGTGGTGCATGGTATATTGATATACTTGTTTTACTATGAGTTCTTTTCTCCTCAGGAAAAACTAAGTAAGCGTCGGGAATTACTAACGGAGAAAATGAAAGCCGAACAAAAGGAGCAAGAACAAATTAGGAATGAAGAACAAAAAGTATTAAAGTAAGTCTGATTTGGAACAGTGTAATAATCAAGACTTAATTAAGGCTCGTAACTCATATAATCACATGCAACGAAAATCGTAACGTATTAAATTCTCCGGCGGGGGGGGGGTATTTTCAACCAGAAAAGCCTGATTTCCTTTTAATGTAGTAAACAAGCATTACATGCAAGCCTAACTTGTTTAGGACTGTCAATCCGGCTAAACGTTTCGGCATTTTATTACGTGAAGCACTGTTATTTAGGAACATGATAGATAATCAAGTTGTGATTTCGGAAGAAGAAAAAGAGAAAATATTGCGTGAACATGAACAAAACATGGCTGAACTAGAAAGCAGGTAAATTTTCTATTTTTTTACTTTTTGCTCGTCTTTATGCTAAATATGAAATATTCACCTTTCAACATTCAATTTTTTCTCCTTTTGCCATTCGTTCCCTTTTTTCCATGATCTTGGTGTAATTGGATGACTCTGCCATGCATGTTCTCATTTTCTGTAAAATGCCACACCTCTCAATCACTTTCTTTCATTTCTTACAGTTTAACATTAAATAAGTTAAGACAGAAACAAATGTTGGAGGAAAAATTGGAAAAACGACGAAAAATGAAGATGGAGAAGTTACAACAGAAACATGAAAATGAAAATAAGGTTTGTGAAGAATTAAATATTCTCTTCGTAGTGTCGAAAGCAGTACGACCGTTTACTCTTACCAAAGTCTCTCAACTGTATGATTTTACGATTTGGAAAACATGTCCAGTAAACAACAGAACAATACATGTAGCTACCTAAGCTTTTCAGCCCTTGACAAACATTGTTTTGGAAACAATTATATCTTCTAATATCTAGTTGTGGTATATGGCTGGATAATTTTCAACTATTCGGCATCTTAGGTATCCAATAACGATACAGCCCTAACACTGTAATGTTGGACATGTCTAAATTTCAGAGAATCAAAATCGAGAATGTTGATGGTGCAACGGAAGAAGTAGACCTGCTGAAGAAACAAGAAATAGAAAAACAACAACTCATGGAAAATGATGCGAATATGGAAAACGAAGTGGAACAGGTGCTGTAGTGAACATACGTAACTCGTCTCCCAGTTGTACTGTATAATTACTGTATTCGTTAAAGATTAAGGGCGTTTTTGTGGGTGAAAATTTTGAGCGAAGTCTATTGCTGGGGGGAATAGGTTTTCGGATCGTCGGATTTCACAGAAAAAAAATATTCGGATTTCGGATCTGGCGAATATTTTACACGGATTTGTGGATCTTATTAATACAGCGGATTGCGGATTTATCTAATATTTTGGCTCGGATTGTGGATTTAGCTTGCAATTTAGTTCGGATCCTGGATTGTGACTTCATAGTAGAGCTTTTAGCGGATTCAAATTTAGAAAAGACCATTGTCGGATCGCGGATTTTGCTTCAAATTTGGGCGGATCGGCGGATTTGTATACCCCTATTCACCCCATTGTTAATTTCTTAATTAAGACCTTACTCAGAGTTTAGAACACCAGTATGAAGACTATATATTAAAGATTGTTCGTTTATGTCCTTAGATTCGAGAAGAAATGCTAAATGCACGTATGGAAGCCCTTCAGGAGCACAATGATCGTCTCGGAGCTCTTATTGCAGATCTACAGATCAAGAGAGCTAACCAGGTAGTGTATGCAGTCTGCAGTAGTAGGACCATTTCACTAAACACTGTCGTACACAGATGGTATTGAACTGGAGGTTATCAGAGTGAGAAAATATTGTTAATTCTTTTCGTTTTGCGTATAGTAGACTTGGTAGAAAATAAATAAAATTGTATTTTCATTTCCTCGTACACATAAGTAAGAACATATCTAAAGTTGATCACCAATTTATATTTGCAATTCGAATTTGAAATTTCTAGCCATCTAAGCAATGAAAATTCACATTTGTTTATCTCTTACGTATTTAATTGTACAATACATATATCTTAAAATGTAGTTTTCGTTTTATATTTTCCTAAAATGTCTCTTCTCGTTGCATAGATTGCTGAAATCAACAAACAACAACGTGCGTTAGGTCAACTTCAGACCAGTATTCTCGATGATCTGGATGAGAAAGGTGTTTTGGTTGATCCTGAAACTAAGGAAATATTACAGAAGCATCAGGAGGTAAGTACTGAGTGGACATGAATTATTAGTTCCTTACTTGGGTTATCATAGGGAGGATACTGTACGGCCACTGGTTATGGAAGGGTCCAACCATCATTATCACAACAATTTATAAGATTTTTAAGATAGAAAGTGTGAGGATCTTTCTAATCATTCAATTTTCTTGCACAAACAGCAATCTCAAAAGTTGGAGAAAATTTTGCAAGATCAACGTGACCAGCAAGAAACGGTAATGGCAGTTCTTTGTTATTAAAGTATTAAGGAGTCTTGATATAAGATAGCTCTTTTTTTACCAAGTGTTCATTTATAACACTTTGGCCACTTTCAACTGTGGCTGTATCCTTTCTTCGTCGCTTTCGTTCCTGAGAATTCGACCGCCATGGTACGTTTTACTTTACAGGATATCTCCATGTTATGTTCACTGGATTTTCTTCTTCTCGCGACATTCTTTCATCTTCTGTGATATCGCGATAATGCTTCAGCTTTTATCATTTCTACGTCTCTCTCAAATTTATCTAGGCTCTGAAAGAAAGATTGCGTGAGAAACTGAAACAAAAAGAACAGCGGTTAATGCAAGAACAAAAGGTACTAGAAATCTTCAATAGGCTAGGGTTACGATCAAAGCAAATTTGTGTGAGGTCTACATAACGATATTTTAAGCGACGATATTTCATATTGATCTTACAGTACTTCGTTTTTTTTCCAGGATGAGATTACAAAATACATCGATAACATGCAAGATAACAATGCTCTGATGAAGTTCCGCAAAGCAGCTCTGAAAGCGAGACACAAAGCGCATCTTGATCAAGAAAAACAGCAAATTGAAAAAGAAATTGAACAGTCTGTTAATGAAATGAAGTTACAGTTAGAGTTGAACAGACTGAAAGCTGTTGAAAAACAGGTTGGCATTTTCTCAATCCATAGTCGATCAAATCTGGAAACTCGTATCTTTTTGTTCATGCATGTTTTTGTAAACTTGTGCATGGTGCAGAACCGTACTGAACGAAGGTGGAAGAACAAAGACAGGATATAGTTTCATGTCTTGCTGTTTTGTCTCGGTCAGAACTTAGATTAGGGTCAATATTCATAAACGGCGACATTTGAATCAACAACGGGAAGACACGTTGAGCAACCACCAGTGACCTCAAAACTCAAGATAATGTGCAGACTGTCAAGAATTCTAATATTGTGCAATAAGCTGCCGTTGTTAGTGTTAGAAGTACTTAAGAAAAATGAATAAATAAGAGAACCCTTCGCCAAGGAGTTCGTGGAATGGAATGGGAACTCGTCTCATCAAATACATTTTAATTTTTTCCAGAGTATTCAATTTATCTCGGCTTTGGTAAAGTGTGGAAAAATACAAGAAGAAGAACTAGACTCTGTACTTCAAGTCTTATTCCCAACAAAGTAAGCTCGTCATGTGTGATTTCAAATATCCATACAGAAGCAGTAAGAATCTTATTTTGTTTAAACTTGCTCTTCATCTTTTAGGAAACCAGAAGAAATTGATGAACTACTTACTCAAATTTATGGACCTTCGCATACGAGAAGTAGTGCTTTGGCATTACACTCATCCAAGTAAGTTTAACAGACAGAACAGTGATATTTTCTATACATCTCTCTCAAATATAGAACTCTAAATATCTGAATAACCTTTCATTTCAGACCTTCATCTTTGGAGATGAAAGTTATCGCTCAAATTAGTCCGATGCCATCTAATAGAAGGTAAATCTTTAGTTAGCATATGCTGACTAATTTCTGCGTCAATCCTTGACATCTAGCTATTATCGGATTCATAAGGTCAGAACAATGAGGTTCTACATATAATACCAAAACCGAATTCAATAATTGTTTTACTATACATTAAATGTGAAATATATCACGATTGACTATTGAGAAAAAATAATAATTCGGCACACTTCTTTGTTATATTTAGGAAAGCCAAGCCTCGTTTTGAGAAACCAGATGATCTTGATGATCTCCCGCCACCGGAAGTGGCGTCCAGTCTTCCTCCGGTAATCTTACAAGGCAACAAAGGCTTTAATCTTGAGAACAGCTTGCACAATGGTAGCAAGAATAATACGAGAACTGAAGGAAAGAAACTGGGGAGAGTACGCTTGGCACCACTTGATAAACATTGACATGCACACAGGTTGAAAACTGACATAGCCTTAAAGCGAGGTAAATGGTTGGTTTAATTCCCATGTACAAGAATTTCAAACTTTACATTCGTGACGCAATCGAAAGAACGAGGCTCTACGGTCAAGGTGACGTACTCCCCCGGAAGCACACATTATTTTGATCGGTCAATTTCCGTATCGATAATCTTAATCCTAAATTTAATCCTTGTTACAGCATTTCGGGATATTTAAATGAAGTCACTCATGCAATAATAATTTCTTAACGTAATCCTCACCTTAATGAATAATGGCAATTCTATTTCTTAATCTTCTAATATTCCTGATTCTGCCACTAGTATTAAATTTCCACAACCGCTGCCTCCCACTTGCGTACGCATTTGATTGGTTAATCGGGCAGATTGAATGTATCTGATTGGTTAATCGGGCAGATTGAATATATCTGATTGGTTAATCGGGCAGATTGAATGTATCTGATTGGTTAATCGGGCAGATTGAATGTATCTGATTGGTTAATCGGGCAGATTGAATGTATCTGATTGGTTAATCGGGCAGATTGAATGTATCTGATTGGTTAATCGGGCAGATTGAATGTATTTGATTGGTTAATTGGGCAGATTGAATGTATCTGATTGGTTAATCGGGCAGATTGAATGTATCTGATTGGTTAATGGTAGCGGTATTGGAAATCAAATCCGAACCTCCCTATTAATTCAATAGATGAAACCTGAAGTCATGATAAAAATATTTTCTTAACTCTAAATCTAAGGGTAATGTTGATTTTCTAACATAATCCTAGCGCTAATATTATAATACATCACTAACGTTTTTGTAAAATGTATACACATAAACTAAATCAGTTATATAGCAATGCCATCTGGAAAATTTTGTCTGAAAAGCTAATGAACGGCATTTTATCTAATTTTTCTATGAAAATCTCCATCTATAGGTATACACTTTAATAGTTCAAACTTAAATTATGTCATTTACCACTTTAATATAATAAAACTTGAGCAATAGACCGAGTTCTTTTGTTAAATTTTAACTATAGTATATAATATTCTTATAAAGTTAGTTCTTTTTAGAAATCATGCAGTCACATCAGTATTAAATAAAGGTTTCTAGTAAATTAGAAGGATAGTATTTAATATACTATTTGAACGAGTTAATATATTAATATATTAATATTACTTGTTTATGCTCTGCATATTTAACTATCTACACTTCTCATCCGATGTATTATACAATTTTGCTCGAGCATGCATATCTACAATATTTATGTTGAACTCCATAAATGAGACTATAAGTATAATACAGGGTATATATATATATATATATGCATGTATGCAAAATAATTATTTCTTTGTCATTTTTGTTAATATGGTTGATTCTCGTTCTTTAAGTTTCTTTTGCACATTGTTCTGCAATGAAAAAAGTCGTTATTAGTATTAAATTTATCTGTCATTGTGTTGTGGTGTATATTTTTTGTGTTGTGTTGTGTTGTGTTGTGTTGTGTTGTGTTGTGTTGTGTTGTGTTGTGTTGTGTTGTGTTGATTGTACTGTACTATAATCACTAACGAACGGACGAAGGGCCTTCGCTCGAAACGTCAAAGTTTTCAATATTTTCCAGGTAGTTGTATATCCTTCATACTTCAGCTGTCTCGGATACTTCAATATCACAACATTATAATCCATTTTTATTATATTTTATTTCAACGAATTTATAAAGCATATATGTCAATATGTGTACCTTAACTTCGTTAAGAATTCCATCAGACACATCTTTCAAAACTTGTTTCATTTCGTCAGGTTTAAGAGAACTAAATAATGTCTCCTGTGTGCAACCTTCGTCAGCAATTTCATCATTTTTAACTTCAATGTCGTCTAAAAAACAAACCTTGTTTCATCAGCAATATAATTAAATTAATTAGCCATTGCGTTGGTTTTCTCCCGAGAGCTTTTTAGCGTTTCCACTGGCAAGCAAATTGTGGCATTACGGAGAAACATTCAATCTTTGTCAATCTGTGGAGTGTGATATGGGGGAATCATTCATAATTGCAGTACAGCATGTAAATTACGTACCCTGTATATCAATTGCAGCTTGTGTTTCCTACATCAGAAGAGATTTTATGTTAGCAACTCATGATAAGGAAAAAGGTTTGATATGATGTAATTTGCATGGTACTATGGTATGGTTTGTGTGTGGTAGTATGGTCCTATTTTAAAACTGGTCTAAAATTAACTGAACTAACTGGTGTGGTATGGTATGGTACCAAGGACTGGCAAAACAAGTAAGTATTAACTACATGTATGTTCTACCTTTACATCATTCACATTCATATTTGAGTGTCTCAATCCCAGGACATGTTTACTGTGTATTTCCTCAGGTAAACCTTCATCAAGCGGTGGCGGGAATGGAACATCTGCCATGGGTGGCACTTCAACCAATAACTTGAAAAAACAGGAAGTAATTCAAAAAAGCCAAATCAAATCCTTACTGGTGCCTCGTTAGTCAGTGTTGTCGAATGTCGATGATATGACAGATTCAGATTTGACTTTCACTATACCCTACCATCAACATTGGTTGCAGCAAGTTTGTAGCAAACGCATATTCTCTTTGACAAGGTGTGTGATTTTTACATGATTGTGTTAAGAAATATGCGGTGTTTTATACTTACTTTTTGTTTTATCACAGGTTCGTCTGTGGCTTGCGAGAAAAGAAGTTCGTAAAGCTTGTAGTGTTGAAAAAGACTACAGAAGAATATTACAGTTTTTCAGTTCATTTGTTACACTGCATGGCTTCAACAACGCTTACAGATTAAAATGGTGTCTTTTAACCAAAGGTTTAATGCTAAAATTTGTCATTTGGCTGCAGAATAAAGTTGTTTGGGCATTAGGTACAAGTGAGAATAAAATGCTCAATGGTTGGGTCTTACCTCTCCGTAATATAATCGGAAATTAACTTTGTTAGATAGATACTAAACAATGGTGATTTAGCTTCGTCAGAATTTGAACAGGTTCCCATATATCTCTTCATTTGACAAATATTCTTCCCTATTGACATTTTCTCGTCTAAAATAAAAGAGTTTCTAATCTACAATTATATATTCTCCGCTCCGAGTTCGCGTTATCCATTTTTCATATTTGAAAAACTATTTAATTTCAGAAATGATTGAAATCACCCAGAATTGAAATCTTCGTGCTCAACTTAGTCCATGCCGAAAATTTCACGTTCGGACATTCAGAGCGTGATTTACGCAGAATGTTGAAATATCGTGAATATTTCGGTATACACTAATTTGAACATGGAGATTTCAACTCCGAGGCCAATTTTGACAAAGATCTGTAGATAGTGAGATGAAAAATGGATGACGTCAACTCGGATCAGAGAGTGGAAAGATTAAACGCGGTTTACAGTTCGGACGCTTATTATTCAAATTTGCATATTTCTTCCCTTGCTTTCAAACAGCCACAGGATGCGCATGAAAATTGGATAAACAGAAACTGAAGGGAATCGATGATGAAACTTCACGAATGCCCATGTGTTCAACAAATAAAACTGGACGATCATGAATTTGGGTATGCTTCCAAGTGGTCAAACTTAGTCTTAGAGAACTTTGAATGAACTGAATAATTAATTATTGTACCGAACCTCTTATGTTTTCTAACAGAATTTTGACAAGTGAAAAGAATGCTGATATTTGTTCAGTGGTAAATTTGGATTGTTTTGCAAACCTAAACAGAAGCAAAAATTCATTATTTAGTATTAATTAAATAAAATATGATTTATAACTCTGATTTATCCAACATTAAATCATTATATATTCAACTTACCAAAATGCAGAAACATAAAAATCTACTAGACAGGCTTCTTTCAAACATATGTTGTATTTGTAGAAAGAAAATCTTTCAGCAATTTTTCTAAAAAATCAAAATACTATAAGGAGAAACACGGTGTTGTAGATGATGGATTTGTGTTCATTTGAATTGGTAATATTTAAGAATAATTAACTTTTCTACAATGGAATAAACTTACGACTCGAGCTGTTGTGGTGTAAGAGCAATCAACGAAATAATTTGTGCTTCATTCAAATCTTGCCAAACAAGATTTTCAACAGCACTCTCCTTAAAATGGAAGAAATAGTTCATCAAGTAGTTCGGTAGTTCATCAAAATTTCATGATGGCTATATAAAATTGGTGCAAGTAGTAATATACATGAAATTCCATAACAATAAAATGTCTTAAATACACATAAACTACTGTAAATTAACGATGAAGCATGTGCAGAAAGAACATGTTTTAATACTGTACAACTCTCCAAAATTATATCAGACGAATGCAAGGGACAAACTTTGTAAATTGAGTTTTATTGTAACGGCTACGATTCCTTGTTTGTAATTAACCTACCCCAGACATTATATTATTGCTTTCACTAGTCTCCACTTCAGATTGCTGTAAATTAGATTGCTTTGTTTGCAATCGTTCTTTCGAACGTGAAGTTTTTCTGCTAACGTCCGCCATATTTGTTATTCTTTATGACGCTATTCTGTTACCATAACAACCAAGCTTGAGCTACAATTCAATCTCTGCGTTTTATAATAAAACTCAACAATAGAGGTGGATCGAGGGTGCTATATTTTTCGACTTACATAGACAAAGATAATATTCTTGGTAGTAAAACTAATTTAAACTCCCAAAGATTCGATTTGTGAATGTAAACATAAACTAAAGAATATGACTTTGAAAGGATCTTCATTCAGTCTTACTATTGAGATCAGTGCAACCTGGGTTTCCCGCCAAAACGTTTAAAAACCTTACTGCAAATATGGCGACAAGTTGAAAATTTCAAAGCAAGTATTCACAAAATTGCCCATTTTTATAGCGTATAATGGCTTCAAAAACTGAACAATCGATCATAAGTTTAGCTAAGCAAGAAAACAATGACGAGTTGGTGCGAATATTAAATGGAATTAAATTGGAAAAGGTATAAGAAACATTTACAATGAATAAACAAATTGCATTTTTCTAACCAATGATGGTAATATGAATATATGTATTTAAATGTAAACAGCATAGGTCAATTGCCTACTAGTTGTGATATACATAAATTTTTTTTATTAAGTTGCAATCCTTGATTTGTGCACTTGGTCCACAGTTATTTAAACCCCCTCAACTATTGCAACCATATCTTCACAGATTCTAGCGTTAACCCCCTTCCCCCCTTTGTGGGTTAAGTCCACAAAGGGAAACGAAATCTAATTGTTGATGGTATTTTACTTGTTATCATATTTGTAACCACTTACAATCACATGGATAGGTGGGCATGAATATAGTAATAACACAAAGTTGGAGCCTGACAATGGTAAGAGACTAATAAGATTTTGTTATAGCTTGGAAGTATACTAACATCTCGTACAAATGAAAATCATGGTGATGTTGCCAAGTTGTTGCGAGCAAGTTTTCAAGGTATACCCATTCTATGCTTAATAATTAGAAGAAACCCAATGTATACAAAAGAAAAAGCACTGCGATTCTTGAAACTTTCAACTTGAAACTTTAATTTCCATCTATTTGTTTTTTAAGGATCTCCATGTAGTGATGAGGAAGGCTTGCAAAGACGGAGTTTTCTTTTTAATCATTGCATGAATATATTGAGTGACACTGATATCTCTGCTAAGGTGATTCTAAGATATTTACTCACACTACCAGTTTGTAAAAAGCATTGAGAAAATAATTAACTATGGATCTTTCTACTGTAGCTTGCAACAGAATATGCGGGAATCTTATTTTTGGAGGTACGATGGTTTTATGCAATATATAGTTGGTTAATTTGCAGCATAATCATTTTTCATGTGCAAATATTAGCTCATAACTAAGCTCATACAGCACCTGCATATGTGATGTAACTGCACGAGAGGCTTGGAATCATGTGAAAATACCTTTTCCAGTGCAGGTAGAAATTAGAATACAATTGATGTGTTTGGACAAGACAGTCAAATACTCCAATGACTAATGTATTCATCAAACACATTTTGTAGATTGATAAAACATCAAGTGAATTATTGTGTGAATTGGCTGATAAAATTGTTGAAAGTATTCGCAAAGGCTTGCTAAAGAACGGAAGGTGTGCAGGTGTCATGTCTAACTAACATCTACTTTTAAAGAATATTGTACAATATAGTAGTATAGTACCTAGCCTGCATGTCAACATTACCTTTGTGGAAAAACAACCATTGGCAGACCACTGAATGACATTTTCCATATTTACAGTACAGTATGTCATGCATGGGTCCAGGAAAGGCAACCCAGCTGATTAACTATATGTACAGTACATTCCTGCCATTTCATTTTAGAGTAGTGCAGCTGTTTCCAAAGATTTTATCATCCATAGCTTCAAGAGACTCTGTCCCACTTTCCTCAGGTAACAATACTTGTAAGACAATGTGATGATTGCTATATAAATACATTTACAAATACTTATGTTATGAAGCAAATTTTCTGAACCTTTTCAAAGCTTAGAAATAATTTCATAGTAAATAACTTATAGATATAAGTTGAAATAAATGTATGTATTTTTTGACAAAAAAAATGTATGACATATTTCAGATGGTGGTGGTGAGCTATCAGGGATTCAGTATAAAAGTCAGATGATAAACACTTTGTGTTCAACAAAGTAGGATATTTTTCTCAGTTTTGTCAATGCATTTCTCCCTCTCTTCATTTATTTGTTCTGTTTGTTCTCATTCTATTAAATTAAAAACATTTCTTCGTACCAAGTTAAATATTTTCCTGCTTCGGACCAAATGTTTGTGTGATCTGATACTTTTTCCATGCCCTGCTGAAATGCTGTATTGTGATGTTTCTTTATTTCCTTAGGTGGCATTCTAGCTGTGTCATCCATTTGGCTAATATGTTCAGGTAAAATGATGACCATTCTTCACCTGGATTTATATGTGTGTGTTTATGCGTTTGTCTGTACCATACGATTCACAAATATCCAACGTATTAATACGAAAATTTGTGGAGTTCAATTTGGATGAAAATTGGATCATATGGAAATGCTACTTCTTTAAATTGTTTGCCTTCAATTCCATGCAATATATAGCTTAATTTATAGCCTACCAATGCTTTCATGGTTAAAAATTGTTGTTACAGTACAACTTTGTTATACAGTTATTGTCCGCAATTGGTGAAGGATTCACATCAACTTCACGATTGGGACTTAAAAATTTAAATTAAACTACAGTGCATATTTCTTTTCAGAGAGGTCTCATTAACCAACGAAGAGTTGAAATTTGTCATAGAAAAGATTTTAAGGTTTGTATAAAAAAGTGATTCCTTAGACAATATTGTGGAACTGGAGTAAAAACATGAACGCGCAGACATGACGCAGAGACGGTTATTGATTGTAGTTTTATCCTGGGTAATTTTCCATATAAAGGGTGACTTTCTATATAAACGGAAGACCTCATAAAAATGTTGGTGCTCAGTTCACGTTAGTATTACTGCAGATTAAGATTACGTTTTGGATCTTATTGGGGAAGTTGGGTTGTGGTTAAGATTGTAAAGAGAAACAGTAGCGACTGTGAGGTGCAATATCATATAGTTCACTTTGTATTTAGGATGTTCAAGAGTCTTGAACTAGAAGAGATACCACCAGTTGTGTATCAGCTGTTCATATTTGTATTTAGGATGTTCAAGAGTCTTGAACTAGAGGAGATACCACCAGTTGTGTATCAGCTGTTGATATTATGCTCCAAGGGACATAGGATTTGTGTACTGGAAGGTGTCATTACGTATTTTACCCAACTTGATATTGAAAGTGTTCAGAACGAGCAGCAACAAAGGTAATGGAACGATCTCACAATCTATTTCATTGTACACGTACATGGACTAAACTAAACTATATAGTGAATATAAACTTTTTACAGAGATGAGGAATTCCAAGGAATTTCCACCGACCAACTTCGACATACAGAAGGCAATGTCATTTTGCACATTACGTTTGCCGTAAAGCAAGACCAACAGCTTGGAAAAGAGTTTGTTAAATATTTGAAGGTGTGTATAACGCATTTCTGGAGTTAACCAACATATATGTCGCCCGCTAACATTGAAACTCGACAATAAGGAACATTTTAACAGAATTGTGCAAACTTTTCATAATCAATTTCACATTTTTTACTATATATAGGCATGCCAACAACGTCCTCAAAAAATACTGACAGCTTTCAATCTTGCAATTGCTCTGTCTGTTGCTCAAATCCATAGATTTGAAGAACCAGTGAGTCATTTCTTTCATGTTTCATTCACTACAGCCACGTTGTTAGAGAGAACTTAGTTAACCATTTTTTCAATTTGTTAATTTAGTAATTATTTAGCTAAAAGTCGGTGAAGAACGTTTTTCAATTTGCTACGTCTCTAGATCTTTGATGTGCTTAAAGCCGCTGTTTTAAAGAGCTTTAAAAGCATTAAACTTAGGAGTGCTTCAAAGTGGATGCAAGGTATAAATATCCTGAAACGACATTTATTTACAATAGCTTTGGTTACAGTTAAAGATTATTTGAATATTAGTGAGGAGACATCGTTTTCTTTTTAGATAATGTCGAAAGTATTCCTGATATCTCTAAGGAAATTCTACAAACCGTTCAAAATAGGTACTTTTTTGTACATTAACATCTAAGTCGTCTATATAGTGTATGTTTTGAGGTTTTAATTCATTTCCATTCAGTATGTTTGGTTGGGACCATGTTGCTCAAGGCATCGTTCAACTTGGCTTTTATTTAATGGATACCTTTGGTTCGAAGAATAACGGTATGGATTACTATGATGTAGAAATTAAGTCGCGAGTGGGTACAGTTGGAAACACGATAACCTATAGAAACACGCTGACTGTAGTTAGCGTACCTGCCCAGTGACCTCTCTATATATCTGGAGCAGGAACGTCAGACTCGTCAGTCACTCTGTCTATGAGGAAAGTGAAGGCAAGATGGCGGAATTGAAGTCCAGTAGCTCCATCTTTGACTTCACGTTTTACACTCAAGTTCTCGCTCCAGATATATATGAAGATCAATGTACCTGGTTAGTTACACAGTGGACCAATGAGGGATGGTGGGGGATGCCATCACAGCTAGGACCTCTATGGAAAACAGTTGGGAACTGATAAAACTATGAGCTATCCTGAAACTAAGTTAGTCAATGATAAATATTAAGCTTCTATGAACTTTAGACGCAAGCAATACAGGTCAGTGCAGTCCACAACAAGAATCCTGCCAGTTGGGAAGTTTAATCTTGTTGAAAACGTTTAAGGTAATCTCTTGAATGATTGAAGAAACTCAACTGGAATGAAGTAAACTCACTTCAGTGACCCTACAGTGTCATTAGTGTCATCCTCCATTCTCAAGCATCAGCCACCGTCCTCAAGCATATCAGCCACCGTCCTCAACAACGTCATAAGCAATCAGCGGTGGAAATTCACTTTTTCCAGTAACGTGGCAAACACTGCTTATTTCCGCCAAAACTACACTGTACACTAAAATCTGGTTGTTTTTTGTAAAATTTCGCACCACTGCCGACCATCTTCTGTCATCATCCACCATCATCTACCATCACATTCGTCATCTGGCACAGTTCATGATTGTAGAAAAATGTCATCACATACCTTTATTCCGCAGGTTCACGATATGATTCGAACGGAAATACTGGAGCAAATTTTCAACAGATTGCTTACTAAAGCTACCAGTACTTCCACTCACTACATAGGTAGGTTTATGAGTGAAAGTTGCGCTTCTTATAAGACTATCAGTATAACTTTATAATACAAATGTTTCTGTTGTCATATCGTTGATCCGTTGTCTTTTCCAAGATCTTCTCCAGAAAGCAGTTGCGTCAAATCCTCAAGCTCTTTTGGACTCCTTATCTAAGGTAGAGATCGGATATATAGACTTCAATTTGTTTGCTCTTAGTTTTATCAACAGTTCTGAAATTGACATGTGCTGCAATATGTATGCAACCCTACCATACTGTACATTTGTATTTGATTCTGTGTTTTATTAACACGTCTTCTCCTTGGAAGAGTACATTATTCTGTACATTATTTGTTGTCTTTGGCCTTCAGGTGAAAGAAGTGTTTGAGTATTTGTCATGTCTACCATTTGCGACAGCTCAAGGTCTTTTGCAAGCTGTTTTGGTGAGAATCTTACTGAACAATGTATTCAATATATAGTAATGTTTAGATGATTTAAACCATGACGTCTCTTTGCAGCCGCTTATGAAGATCAGTATTACGTTAAGAGATTCACTGATGCTCGTTTTACGAAAAGCCATGTTCTCCAGGTAACCAAATGAAACATCCATCAGTTCAATCATTGTAAAGACGTTTGAGCTTTCTAAGAACCTTCCCTTTGAATAATAAAATCGTCTGGCATCGAGGACAACGTATTTTTTTACTGTATAACCTATACAGACAAAAATGAGTTAGATTAGCGATCCCACCGTTTAAGCTAATCATGTTTCCTTTTTCTTGTTTGATTATTCATCCTCTATTTACAACATTCCAGTTTAAGCTTTTCTGGAAATACATATTCAGTTTTCAGTTACAGTTACATATTCAGTACCATACACGTCTGTAGATGAAGCTCTGGGAACGAGGTTGACATTCACTATACAGTAGCTTTATCGACACTTTTACCTCGTTTTTCAATGCATTCGTTTCATAAAGAAGGTGGTTTGAGATATTTTTGTTTTGAAATCAGGAATTTAGAATCACGAAAAATTGCGGTCAGTGGTTTTCTAATTGTATTGAAACATTTCAAGGTAATTTTACTTTTTATTTTATAAAATACATTGGAATAGAAATTTATAGAATACCAATTTAGAAAATACATTGTCAGCTCATCGTGCGATAATTCTCTATATTTTCCCCATAATATCCATCATTGATATCAACTCCACATTCGGTCAACCATTGTTACACCGTTGACTGTTGGCCAGTCAGAAAAAAATCTTTTCTATATTGTGCAGGTACGTGGAAGCAACATAACATCAAGCCAAAGCTTAAGTCAGAGCAGTCAATCTTCAGCATCAAGTCACATTCAAGTGGATGTTCATAATACAAGCAGAGGAAGCAATACGGGAAATGAAGCTTTGTGCTTGGAGATTTTAGGTGCGTTATTACGGGGTAAAGTGTTGGTAAGATGCATTATACAGTAATACACAAACTGTATAATGATGAACGAATTTTAGTCGCAAAAATAAGAGACAATGATTAGGGTGATTCTTGAGATATGGAATATATTTTCACAAAAATATAAATTTTAGGTGGACTACGTCGTTGCTTCAATCAACAGGCTGACATCCGCGTCCTTTTATACGAGGTATAAAGCTCAAGGAATTTATCATTTAGTAACTAGTGCATTCCTTGGATCTTTCATTTTGTTAAATTAAATCAAATCCCCAGATCGTCTATGATTATGAATGCTGTTAAATTCTTTGGACATTTTAGGGTCTTTGTGATGTTTTGGGATCAAATTCCGAGTTACAACAAGCAGCGTTAGAAATCGTTCATAAACACGTGAGTATATATGCAACTTTGCATATTTCGTTATTTTTTATGATGGGCTTAATATGGGATGTCAGTCCGGTGACCCAATCCTTCACTAGTAATATAAGAAAGTAATAAAAGATCATTGGCAACTGCATTTTCAAACTTTTGGTGATTTCTAACCGCTGTCTTCTTTGTTAAGTTTTTGAAATACTATGAACATGACGACGAAATCCTTCCTCCTCTAAATCTGGATCCTTGCTTAACAGCGTCTGGCGACCAAGTCTTCCTTGCTGAACCACTGGTATGGAAAATTACATTTTCGCATGAAGTTTTCGCGCGAAAAATGTCGGACAATTTGATTCTATAAACGTTTCCAAAATCCTAGGGACATCTGCTGTGTTTATTACAACAAAGTTTAGTCAGAAGTTTGAAGAATTCTGAGCAAGATGAACGAATGGATGAAGGTACAAGATGGTTTCTGATTAAATGCAATAGAACATCTTACATACAATACAATAGTTTGAACTGAGGCTGTGATGGGGAAATATCAGGATTTTGAGGTACCTCACTTGATAGAACTAAATGTTGAAGAGTTTTTCCAAGATACGTAGAATTGTCACTCCATTCCAACTTCGAAAAACCTTTCATCTTCATGGTGTGATGCTATATATTTAAGTTCTAGTTAAGTCATGGCCAACCTCACTAGAAAGATGTCCTGTTTATGGATGTGTTAACTAACCGAAAGACGCCTTGTTCATAGATGGGGAAGAAGAGTTGAATTATTTCACAGAAAAGCTACAGGAATTATTTACCTCCTTAACACAACGGATGAATAAGAGCGAGTTGGAAGACTTTGAATTGGTAAGAAGAATGTATTAAAGATTGGTAGAGAGAATCCAAAATTTCAGTATCCTGAAACAGAACAGTTATTGCAATGTGTTTTTACCACTGCGATAGATGTTGAAGCGACATTCACATTTCTGATTATAATAGAGAGGTTCAGATTTGACTTCCACTATTGAGGTCTGGATAAATTCCTATTTCAAACCGAAATTAAAGAGCTTATATTGGGTTTCTCTTGTGCATTTAAGGATAAGTCGGCAGACTACTCCATGGCGAATGGCGTGGGTATTAAGAACAATATATTCGCCTGCTTGGTTCTTGGCATTCTTGAGGTGAGACTTCAACAATTATTGGATTGAACAAGTTGTCCAGAATTATTCAGACCGAGGTTAATGTTATCTACCGAGGTCAATGTTATCTGAATTTTTGATTCGTTGTAGGTTCTGATGGAGCACACGTTCATTGCAGGGGACTTCAGGTTAGTTCTGACCTGACACACTGTATTGTATCATTTGTTTTTCTTTACTTATTTATAATATTGAAATGTTTTATTTTAGCCAGGAAAGCTGTGAAATGGTCTTACAGTTGTTTACCAAATACTGGAAACTTTCCAGCGTTCTGAAAGGGACGAATTTAAGCCAAGGTAGCGTTCTAGTCAAGTAGAATTGGATCATCATCTTATAAATTCCAAGCTTATTCTCATCGATAATTTATAAATAACTTTTGTCCGATATTTCTATATTGTCACAAACTATAGGTAAAAAAGCACGACAGTCTTCATCAAAGCAGATCGCACGAAGTATGTTCTCTCTGAGTGCAACAGCTAACATTCTCAAGGCAATATTAAGGTAAAGGCTATATCAATTCCAGAACAAAGTAATCTTGCTTGTGTCGGAGTAAAAATTCATAGAAATATTTTGCGTTTCCCTTTTCTCATATTCAGTGATAATCTTCCCAGTCATCAAGCTGGTTTGGATATTTTGCGCAATTCTGGAGACTTTGATCAGTACATTCTCACTGTATCACACCAGAAATTGACTCAGGTGATTAGCCATCTTTTTCCAGTTTTTTAGTGCTCGTGTCTCAGGCAGACAATTGAAAAATTTTCCTTCACAATCGGCCTCTCAGTAAAAGCTGCTTCCCAGAAAAGGTTAAATTGCTCGTCTTTACGGGGCATTAAATAGAAATTTGTGTTCAGATAAATGACAATGGTAATTGTGATGGCGTTGGTGGAAAGGATGTGGAACATATTTATCGTCAGTGTACTAAAATTGCCAGGTCAGTGACACTTTTCTGCAGGCGTGCTGGTTGTGAACACCCTTCTTTTACTATATCTGCATGTTTGGCTCCATATTCTCTCGGAATCTAAAATTGCCAGCATGTAACTAGAACAAACCGTCCTCGTTTTTGACTGCAGGTGTAGTGCATAGTAGCTACACTCCCTGACCTGCATCCCTTTTGTCAGATGAGTCTTAAACCCAATGATTGCTAATTAATACCATCTCAGCCTTGCTTTCTTTACCTTCTGTGTAATATCTACCCACTGCTTCTTCTGATCTCTTCACTAAACATTGTCTCTGAGTAGCTTTCCTTCTTCTTGTTAATGTCCATAGTGTCTCAGCCTTGCTTTCTTTACCTTCTGAATATCTACCCACTGCTTCTTCTGATCTCTTCATTAAACATTGTCTCTGAGTAGCTTTCCTTCTTCTTGTTAATGTCCATACTGTCTCAGCCTTGCTTTCTTTACCTTCTGAATATCTACCAACTGCTTCTTCTGATCTCTTCATTAAACATTGTCTCTGAGTAGCTTTCCTTCTTCTTGTTAATGTCCATACTGTCTCAGCCTTGCTTTCTTTACCTTCTGTGTAATATCTACCAACTGCTTCTTCTGATCTCTTCATTAAACATTGTCTCTGAGTAGCTTTCCTTCACATGTCCATACTTCTTTCACCTCTACAATTTCTTCCACCCCACACATACATGTATTCCGATCTGTTCATTTTATAATTATGCTGTAGAGTTCTCCTTAAGATGGTCAATGGTGAGAGTTGTATTACGAAGAAATCTGAGAAAGTTAGTATAAACTATATTGCAATTTTACACAAATACAGTAAGTGCATTTGAAAGCCAAACTTTAACATTTATTGAGTGTATGGGTAGGCCTATAAGTACATGTATAAGTGAAGTATCGCAGAAGTTTGGTAGAGCCTTCCCTTTTTTCTAAAAATCCTTTTTACTAAAGAGTTTTATGCCAGTGGCTTCAGTCGTTCAATTTTCAAACTGTTCTACTAAAGTCTAAACTTGTTATATATCATGGTTATTTAGATTATCAATCAAAGTTTACACGGTGTATTCCTGGTCATTAATATAATTGGCAACAGATATCGAACAAAGATGCAGAAGTTCTTAGCAGCCTTAGGTAAGGTATCTCCTAAAAAAGTACTCACCGATGCCACTGACAGCTCAAGTATAGAATATTATCTCTATAGATCAGGATAATGAAGAAGCTGAAGCAGTTGTTGATGAAAATGAGCTCATTCATCGACACATTAAGAAATTTCAGGTGAGAAATTTCGGCCAGACAAGAGGTACAATCGTGTAAACGAAGGTCTCATTTTGGTGTTCAAACAGTAGTTTTCATTATACGCATATTATAATATCTGGTGTTTGATGGCAAAGAAATAAAATTGAGAGATTTGGTTTAATTTGGTGTGTTCTGAAATTCACTATCATCTGCATGTTGCCCCCAAAACACTCACCGTGAAACCCACCGTTTGGTGTTAAATCTAATGGTTCTGGGATTGGTCCTCGGGTAAATTATATCAGATGATTGCTCTACACCAGGCAAGCTGAAAAACTACTTTAGTGCAGTGGGAATAGAACCTGCGACCTTAGGTTCCCTAGAAAGTCGCTGGTTTGATTGCACTAACTGTCAAGCAATTTTCCACCTTGCCCGGTGCGGAGCCAATCGAAGTAGCGTTGTTTAAAATCGTGTTGTTATCTCGCCAGTATAATGTAAAATATGTCGCCAAAATGCGTGATTATTTGACGATATCTTTAGAGATTAGTCGTGACGACGTTGGCATCTCCTAATGACACGATGACATTAAAAGACATCCCTCATATGGTCAATATAATATCTTTATTAACACGATGTTTAAAGCCAGGCTTGGACCATGTAAGTGACAAGAAAACTTATTCACAGTTAAACATTTGAAACTGTTGCAATATTAGGACTAATGGACGGTCGTTGGATTCCTGCAATATGCAGTTCTCATTATAATTGCCACATGTGAGAAGAGTGCTTCCAGTTTGACTTTACAAATTACACTGCAGTCTTTCTCCTGGTTATTCCTCACTGGTAGCTCCGATTATTCCTTGTTGCCTTTTACTATGCACGAGGTTAAACACCTAATAGTTATGCCACGTTCTTTATTGCTGTTACTTTTAGCTTTCACAAGTTCAATCTTGGGCCAAGAGAATTTGTGTAGAACATAATATAGGTAAGAGGAGCTTACTATTTGGATGTCCGATTGAGACTTTTCCATTGTCACCTGTCATTACAATCTTCCGCAACTGGTCCTTCTAGTACGTTTCATTACATTCTCCAGCTTTTCTTTAGCTTTCATATTCCCTTCCCCTTTACATTCCATTGCCTGTCTTACTCCGCTCTCTTGATCTTGTCTCTTTTGCAAGATACTTGAGACCCTTAGCTTTTTCTGATTTCAACACTTCTCAGTTTTGTCCATCAGTGTCACTCTTCACTTCATTTTGTACTGTAGATGACGCAATTGTTTCCAAGAGTTTGGTGTCCTTTATGACGAGTTTGACAGCTCAGTGTTGTAACAAACTAATATTGGTAAGTATAACACATAACACGTCATTTAGGACAGATTAACTTGTTAGGGATCTACCTTGTAAAGATGCAGTGTCTTCGCGTCGAGACTAAAACGGCGATGTTCAATACAAAGTAGAGTTTGCCTAAACTTATTATCGTTGGTAATTACCGAAGTTCCAAGGAACTTTTCAGATTATGCAAGCCCCTTAAGCCCTCCCATCCCCTACTACACTTCTGATTCGATAAAATTGTTAAATTTTGATTAAAGGAAAAAGAAATGTCTGCTGATATTCATAAACAACTTGGTGATATTGACGAGGTATAGCTGTTATATTGATTTATATGTTCAAGTTTTATCCTGTTTCATACCTTAACCAATCACAAAAGGCGATTTCTCTACAGTAGAGTTGTGGTTATCTTACAAACACGACTTACTCTACAGCTACACGAATTACCCTAATTCCCCTGGTTTGCGAATGATATATCGTTTTCTTTGAATAGGATATTGAAATGACCGATGATTCGTACTTCGCAATCGTAAACCCACGCACGGCGGCACCAAATGTATTGGTAGGTCTTGTTAGGTTGCTGAATATGTTCGAAAACTACTAGTATTTTTTTAATTAATCCTACTTCTAGTCTCACTTCGAGACCAGGCTGCTCGGACTCTTGTAATCCATTCGTTTCTATTTCGTGCCATATCCGCCGTCATTAATTTTGATCTCTCCCATCTTGTGAACCAACTCCATAAATGTCTCTAACCAGCTCTCCTTTATCTCTTCTCATGACATGTCCATACTATCCCAGCCCTCACCTTCCCTGTAAACTCTATACCACCCAACATCTTTTGATCTCTCCAAAATGTCTCTAACCGGCACTCTCTCATCTCTTCTCATGACATGCCTATACCATCCTAGTCTTGCTTTCTTCAATGACTGCCACCCATCTCAACCAGATCCATCTCAACAAACTGGTACTTAACTGTATGACTCATTGTCAATATGTTCACTCTAGATGGTATTGTTGAGCCAGATTGACAAAGTGTTAGATGAAATAGATTGGTTTATGGCAAAGATAAAAGCTGATAAGGCCAAAACAGCATTGGAAAGCCAAGAAGGTTGTGAAACATTTAGACATCGCTACTCAGTAAATCCCTGAACAAATGACATTTAACAAATGTGATATTCTTATCTTTCAGACGAAAATGATGCGAGTCCGTCATCGCCAAAAGACGATCTAGAGAAATCACTTTGTGGTCGAATAACGAGCATAGTACATGTTTTTCATGAACTTGTGCAATCAGCAATTCCAGTGGGATCTTGTACGGAACTTTTACTTAAAGTAAGCCTCATGAGTACAGTAGCTCTTCTTATAGTAACCCACAGACCTTTGGTTTGATGTTTTTATTTAGAACGCTCAGAAATGAATATTTTCGGAGAGTGTTTCCGCACCATAATTACTATTTCTACTCCATCTGACGACAAAAAACAAAATAACTACCTGAAAAATATAAGCAGAATTTCGACGTAACTTCTTCAGGTGGTCGTATTTTCCAAAAAAGATTTCTATTTGTTCTCATCATCACCTACAACTAATACAGGCCGTTAAAAAAAGCAAAACTCTCTATTGTCGCAAATCTTATCTATGTGTATATATCACGTTAGGTGTTTACATATGCTAACTCATATACATGACTGTACTATAAAATATATATTTATGTATATATATCACGTTAGGTGTTTACATATACTAACTCATATACATGACTGTACTATAAAATATATATTTATGTATATATATCACGTTAGGTGTTTACATATGCTAACTCATATACATGACTGTACTATAAAATATGGACATGCGATTTCATTTCTTTTAGACACTTACAAAGTTTTATTGTACACTTGGTGTTATTGCTAAATATGTAAGTATTAATATGCAAGCAATGCCATGAACGGCTCCTGCACTTTATCATCATATGAAGTACTGTACAATTAATGCAAATTTGTGTACCAAGTAGACAGAAACAGTGACACACTGTAACTCCCCTCCCCATCCACTGTTCTTACACATTAACCCCTCCCCCCCGTAAATATTCTTGTTGGGTTTTGTCATAGGATCACAAATTAATATTTGTATTTGTTTATTTTAGTATTTATATCTGTATGCTCAAAAAACTGGTCAAGCCACTCCTTCGTTTGAAAAAATGGTACGTCCTACATTTTGTTTGAAATCAGTTCTTCAAGATTGTTCACTTTCTATTCAATATTTCAGGTGAAACGTTCTGGAACTCAACTCTCACAACACGTGTATGCATTTTTGACATACGTTCAAACTGCTGAACAAGAAACGCGAGGAAAGGGCAAAGATAAAGATTCATCAAAGACTGGAAATTTAACCAAGGTAACGACCCCTTCAAGATTCGTTCCAGTGAAAATCCTCTACACTTCCTATCCAGGACTGAACTGCCACATGTCTCGCTCCGTAATCCTCATTCACACAGTTAGTCAACGGCGGCGGAAGATCAGTTTGGTCGGGGGTGGAGCTGGACGAACTGTAGGGGGTCCGGGCCCAGGCTCAGAATGAGATACCTTCTTATCAACCCCTCCCGCACTGATCTTTCTTTTGGGAGGAGCTACCCCCCACCCCCCCTTCACTTATACCTTTAGGGGAGGAGGTTATACCCGGTTCCTTCGCCTATGCATTAAGCCTTCTTTCCAATCACAGGTGCGAGTATTGAAGGAACTGAAGTCTGTGCCAAATCTTATTTATGCTGTTGAACAATATGAACGATATCTAATACAGCTGACTAAGAAATCAAAGGTACGTGTACAAGTGTAACATTTTTTGTTTGCAATTGTTATATCACAAGTCATGTTATTATATAGCAAGTGTTAAAGTTCAATTTTCCTGTTTGTCGATTGAACAAAACGGGATCACGTGCCGGTCCACAAAACGTCATGTTCACTTAATGCTTTGCTGAGGGAGCAACCGGCCAACAGTGAAACAATTATTGTCTTTTACATGCATATAGAATTATAGATATTTTTTTTTGTTTTAAAATAGATAAATTTCATGGAACATTTTAAGAGAAGCACATCAAGAGATTTTCGAATTAACTGTGCGACACTTGATGCAGCTTTGAGAGAAGAGTCGAGCGAAGAAGACGAAGAGGTGCTTCATTTTCTCACACATATTATAGAAAGATAACGGTTGACAAAGGGTCAGAAACTAAAATAAATTAACTATTTTGTACTGGTTAGATCTATCAGTTCTGAACCGAACTTCCTATTTTGATTTTTTCAGGATACGACGAAAGAGAATGAAGAACCTCCGAAAAAGAAAGGCAAGAAATAACTATGTTTTTGCTAACTTCCTAACATCTCAAATTCTAAAAATTTTATTTTATATTGTATATAAGAGAGAATATAGCCCAGGGTAATCTGGGGAACGTTGTTTTGGAAACATTATTTCTTAGCCATGGTCAACAAAGATGGGCTAACATTTCAAATTCTTTGAAAACATTTCAAGAAACAGAGATTTTCAGTGATTTCCGCAACAAGATATTCGAGGATTAGAAGGGCCCCTATATATTGATAGCAGAAGCTTGTCTCTGAAAGGGTAACCCTGCTGAAATAAAGGTTTTACATTACATTACATTACATTACAAATAGGGGTTATGACCTAACGCTTCGCGCACAAAAAGTCATGATTGGGGTCAAGATCCATGAGAAATGTATTCACGCGCGAAACATCAGCATACCCTAAATATATGTAACCATTTGACGAAGTGTCATGAGTTTTCAGATTTTTCTGAAACTTCAAAGTTCTAATATCATCTGACTGTTCATGTCTAGTAAAGAGTTTTCACTCAGTTTCTTCAAACATTTTCTTTTCTACCATTTGAATGACATTGAGAAGAATTGCAGGTTCACAGTACGTCAATTTCGAGCACAGTTGGACAAGTTGCTGTAACGAGCCGGGCAGAGCAGCGTTCCTCCACCATTTTGCGTCCAATAACTCGCGTGTGCGGTCCACTGGAAAGTCATAGCGCATGTAACGATTTTTGTGTATTTGGTTAGTCCATCCTTTACCAGGTGTTGCAGTTGTTTCTTTCTCATAATAACTAGAAATAATATCCAAACGTAGTCCTTTAGCCTTTTGTTTGAGGTTCACATTTGTGGGTCCCAATGCTGTTACCTCATCATTTGATACACTTTTGGTCGCTTTATTCTTAGCAGACAAAAATGGAAAGCTAGTTACATTTTCTCTCTCATTTGCCTCGTCGTCTTCACTCGTCTTTAAAAGCAAACCAAACATATTTGCATACTCTTCCTGTTTTTCTGCATTCAGCCCTTTGATGCCTTTAAAATAACTTTTAAAGTGACGGTATACGGTGCACTCAGGTTTCCACGAGCCAAACAAACTATCTTGACAAAATTTGCTGTAGTTGCGAGCGTCTTTAAGCACGTCCAAATCTTCCTTGTTCCAAGGTATTCCATCCTCGAGCCGTAAACATTGGCTTGTATGGATTGTCTCGATAAGGTCGTTCCAAATTGGAAAGTACAGGCTCTCGTCTTCCACTATGTCTGTCCCAAGTTTCGAGAGTTCACTACAAAAATATATGCACACACAAATACTGAGAAAAGAATATTGAGACCTGGTGCTATAAACCTAAAGAAGAGAATGCCCAGGATAGACTGCATAATTGGGCCTCATCAGGGTATTTATGGACCAAGGCGAAGAAGATGTCATAACATTAGAATCACTTACTGTTCTGTAACGTCATCTAAACCATAGATCAACCTCAGTGCTATGATTATATAAGCCATTGCCAAGTCATCGTAATTGAGAACTCCATCGAGCGATTGTAAATCCATGTCTATCATTTCCACAACACTACTTGCGTAACGATGAATACAGGCTGCAAAAACACATCTCGTTCATTCTTGAGTTAATCTACTAACTATGAGTTAATCAATGATCAAAATTCCGTAAACAACGTAACAACAGTTCAGAAAATTATTCATTTCTTAATCATGCAAGCTTAAAACGATATCCCTCCACAAGAGGTGGGAATATGCAGGCCTCTATAAACACCATGAAGGAAAGTTATCTTGTCAGATTGTTGGTCGATCAGGAATATAAAAATCTATTTACTAAGAAAGTTGAGGGACAAGAACAACTAAAAGAAATGATGGAATAAAATAACATACATATAACAACAACAGCAAGGACATTCATAAGCTCAAATCACTTAGGCATGCATTTTACCTGGAAGTTGGAGTTCAACAGCATATCTTGCAATATAGATATTGATCTGATGTCTTGGTATATCAGGAAGGGTAATGTATTTGCTCAATCTTCCTGCAAGTGTTTCAATGTGTAACTTGACCGGGACAGTGGATCTCGTAAAAGTCTGAATATCTGACTGCGATAGTTTCATGTGACTTGGGAAGTATGCAGTGGCGTTATAATACGGCAGGTGTCCTTCTACTGCCCATCTAAACAGAATGTAATAATATTTAGGCCTTGGAAAATTAGGAAATATTGTTTCCAAGGGTAGATCTGACAAGCAAGAATTCAAAGAGATCGATATTGCAATGTTTAGAATTTTTCCGCAGCAATATTTCTTAACAATAGTTTTTTCCAGAGAATGGGGAATGTTGCTTCTTGGGTGGTAGGATTGCAAAGCGGTACATGACAATATGTGTAAATACAGTCCATACTCAGCACCTGATCAGATCAGACAAGCATACTGGCTCTTGTAACCATAGCAATCCCAAGAAACAAAATGCCAGGGTGTGCTGCAGTGTCATAACTTGTATGTTGTAATAACTCTTGTGATATTTTTGATCCACTGAACCAACATGACTACTGGAGTCTGCATTCTGCCCATCCTCTTCAAACAATCCACCAGTAGGGTCATCATCTACAATAAGAAAAGGATGGCTTTAAAATGGACAACACCATTGGATTTTAAAAAGCCAAGTGTGTCAAACATTGGTCTGACCTTCAAAATTGTGGTGCTGAAATTTGAGTGGTGGCAAAACGACAAGTGAGGAAAATGGAAGAGGTGGAATTTGCATGCCTAATCTTGAGTGATAATTTAGGACAGGAAGAAATGAAGACAGTAAGGAAAGATGAAAGTTCATCGACAGGCATGAGTTTACAGTGTAGTTTGAGAGAGATGGAGAGTTGTGTCAAAAAGGCCTAACCATGATGAAGGTAACAATGGTGGTGATGATGATGTTCGTGTTCATTTGTTTACAGTTGTATGACCATTCCTTTATTACCTTCATAAAAATCTTCTCTGGCAATTTCAGAGCTCAACTCCAAAGCATCATCAGGATGTTGTATTTTAGCTGGTGGGCGATGAATTGAGTCAGTTGGTGTAAAGTCTTTAATATTATCTCGGGTCTTTGTTGTGTTAGCAAAATTCTCATCCTGTCTGGTACCAAATGCATTGCTTGATCGTTCCACAAATGTGAACCACATCTGCCCAATGACATCCTGAATATTGTACAAACAAACACACCCATGGGATTACTCCAAAAGAGTGATGCCCTTAACTATATATAATAGACTAAGAGACAGGTCATCCGTAAAAACGTACTATCCGTCTGGGGACATGTTCAAATTCTGGTCCAGACTAAGGACGGATCATCATTTAAATGTCAGTGCATACTACCTTTATAGCTGGATCAACACCGATTTTCATTAGAAATTCAATCTGTGCTTTTATTACAACTTGAAATGCTTCCAGTGTAAACCAAGGTTTTCCACAATCATACACTTTAAAAACATAAGTTTGTTTTAACCATTAATTATATTTGACATGATGGGTTGAATTAAATGTTATTTATGTCACTTTGAATAGTGGTATATAGCTAGCACAGTGGTTGCTTTTCACCTCGGAGCCTGGAGTTTGAAACCCTCGTACCTATCTACCCCCATTTACGTATGGTCATTAGTTTTACACTGACAAGTCTGTCCTCAGACCTCCACATTGACAGGATTAGGTTACCACGTACAAATTGATTGTAACTAGACAGGGCTGATTGCGCTGTACCTTTCTTTTGTCGACGTTTTCGCTTTTTCTTCACACTTAATTTTGCATCAACAGCATCAACCTCATTAACTTCCTCCCGAACATCCTGAACAATATAACAAGTCACAGCAATAAATAGGTGTATTTCCTCTAGAGGGTTACTGCTGGCCCACCAAAACATTAGTCAGAAATAACATATGGGAGGAGAGAACCCTTTCCCTATAAAAAGGGATCCATTTGCAAGAGATCATTTTGCAAGAGTTTCAGCACATATCATTTTGCATTATCCCCTAATTTCATTTCATATTTATGTTTGAACTAATCCCGCCTTAGATTACCGATGATTTCAGATTATTCCCATATACATGCATTTACTCAGAC